AATTAATAATAATGAGTAATTAGAGTTGGCAATTGAAACTTGTATCAAAAATATAGGGAACATACAGTGGATTGAAAACGATTTCGTTCTTGAAAATATTATTCCATTTTAGTTCTTTGCAACATTCTTTCCTTACTTTTCAAATAATAATTTTTTAAACAGGCTCTGGAACTTTTCATCTGAAAAAAGATCAAAAGAAAATTTTTAATAAATACAATTAAAACTGCTTACAATATAAAAACAATTCATTAAACTTAAAGCATTAAAGCCGAATTATTAAAATTTAACACACGCATTGTAACCATTGTGCCACTATTTTTATGTATAGGACAGCATGTGCAAATTTATGCATTATCAGTCTTTTTATTTGTAGTTGTGCTAGAACTAGTATTATATCTATGCGTATTTACATCTGTCCATATAAAATGATTTGTTAGCATATTAAGGCTATGTTCCAAAACGTACACTTCGAGGAAAATTTTACTCCGATGGCTGTTCCAAAACTTTTTTGAGCGTCTCTGATTGGTTCCAGACTGGCCATCGAGTAAAATTTTCCTCGAAAAGGAAATTTTACACCGTTTTGGAACTTAGCCTAAATACATATTTCATTTACATGATTACACATATTTCAAATAATTATCTATTTACTTTTAATCATATATATATCATATATTTAAAATCATATATTTAAAAGTAAATAGATAATTATTTGAAACAGAATTATTTAAAATTGCTTCATTAAATATTTCTGTGTCAGTATCAGTGATATATATTTGAAAACTCATTCTCACTGATAAATGAATATTTTACACCATATGTATATATCATTACAATTACTAGTAGAAGTTGATGCTACACAGAATTTAAAATCGAATTATTTGCTATATTAATTCAATTAATAACAGAATTTTATTCAAAACAATTACTTACAACAATAGACAAATTTGCTTTTTGAGCTGCTTTTCTGTATACACTCCTTTGTTTTAGTGACCGTCCTTTTGGCATATTTCAATAAATTGATTTGCAAAACTTAGATTATACTAATTCGTTATCTTATACACTTTGGAGGTTATATATAAAAAAAAACGTGAGAAATATACAATATATTACACTTTTTTTATATGAAGCAAATTAAAAAGTTTTACGAGAGTAAACGTAACGTATAAAAACACATTTTATCATATCTCTCATATGTAATTCTAGATAATACAAAAATATTATTGTTACTGTATCATTACGCGAACAGCAGACAGACGGAAAGCAGTGCGTGAGTGCCTCACTATTGGTTACCCGCTAGACCTAGACCATGTGTCGATAAGGGCCAAGGCTAGGTTCGGGATTCGGGGAGCATGCTTTTAGCGCTAATATGAACGTATTCTATTCTTATTTAATTTTCAATAAGTAAAGATATAGACAATGCTTTTAGCGCATATACGTGCTCTTCGTACTCAGCCTTGTGAATGAATGCATTTAATTAATTGTGAATGAATGCACTAACGCACTAATCTTTCTTCTTTCGTGTATACATTTATTTATTTTAGATGCAAGAAGAATGCACGAAAAAGTGCAATCTCAAAAAATAAATTCATAATTATATCTGATATTGAAAAATTAAGTTTATATTACATATGTATACAAAAATGGCAATAAAAAATTGCAACCCTGAATAAAATTAAAAAAAAAAGAAATTGACCCCGACGTGATTTGAACACGCAACCTTCTGATCTGGAGTCAGACGCGCTACCGTTGCGCCACGGAGTCTTATGATGTTGTGCGCTTCTAATACGATGATACTCTAGTCGCATACCAGTTTAGACAAATGAAAATGTCGAGTTGCGGACATATAGTAGAATATATGACTTATACTTAAAAATCTAACTCATACCTCATTTGTAAGTAGAAAACAGGCTAAAACTCCCAATGACCACCAATCAACCTCTTGTCCATAATATTCTTTTCCAGACGCGCTACCGTTGCGCCACGGAGTCATATGATCGTGACACTCCAATTGCGCTTACTAGTCTTAGTGCAATTCAGGTTAAGCAAGCTTCATTTCTAATAAAGTGAAATACGAGAATACACAAAATAATAATCGTCGAAATTTCTCCAAAAGTCAAATGGGAAAGTTCTTCTAAAAGATCTCACACACAACAAAGAGATTGTCTCGGTACAAATTTTTCATAGCTACAATATCCACAATCCACCATCTATTTATTTTACCGCCATTTTGTACGTTCAATTTGCATTCAACGTCTTCTAAGCTCGATGTTTGGTGAATTATTTTATATCTTCGCGGAAAAACTGGGTTTTCCAAAAAGTGACACTTATATAACGATAAAAATTCGTATGAAATGATCGAATTTTCGAGCGATTTAAAATTATCGCGCAATTTGTGATTATTATGGATTATTAAATCGAGTGAAATTCGTTATTCGAACGGGATTTTGAATTCGGGACGCTTCCACGCTTCTTCAGTCCGACGTAAATGGCGGGGATTGAAAAATATTGAAAGACAGTGTGATTAATTTTTATCGTTCATTCAACGACAGATACTCTTTTCAGTCGGAATTATTGCAGGGACATATTAGGTATATAAAATTTATACTGATACAATAAAGCGTAATAATATTTATGTTCATTATACATAACCTTATATCACTGTTTTTGTGGTGTTTAACGCGAAAACTATGCGCGTATGTGAATACTCAACGTGCTTGTTATATCTATTTAGATCAGTCAAGTCGACTAAACAACACAAACGACACCGATGATATGATCCTCCTCGTCGACGATATTATTGGCAAGCTAACCTGGAATTCCAAAGTGAGAATTGTCGGCTAAACTTATTTCAGAATGATCAGTGATTCTCAAGAGAGAATGAAAGCCTCCGACAATGGCATGGAGGTTGATGAAGAGAACATGGGATATGACACTGATGAGGAGGGTGGTATGAGAATTGACGATGAGATATACATTCCACCGCCACTGAGAACCTTCTGCGAGGTCGATACAACTGGTCCAAGACTTATGATTACTAAGATCGTCAATGTGAATTTCAAAAGCTATGCTGGCACAACTGTCATTGGTCCTTTTCACAAGGTAAATTTCAATATAACATATGTATATCTGGCTGTTAAATGTGGTGTTATTTCTAATTTTCTTCTATAGAGCTTCTCAGCAATAGTTGGTCCCAATGGTAGCGGCAAGAGCAATGTAATAGATTCTATGTTGTTTGTATTTGGCTATCGTGCCAGCAAGATCAGATCGAAGAAGATTTCTGTCTTAATACATAATTCCAGCGAGTATTCGAATTTGAATAGTTGCACTGTCTCTGTACACTTTCAGAGAGTCATCGATAAAGTGAGATATAATTTTGTTTTGAAATATAAAGTATAAAAGTATATATAGTAATGCTATGATTAAGCATAAAATCATTTTTATTTAAATTATTCTCAAGGAGCTCGAAGGAGACTACGAAGTCATCCCAAACAGTGAGTTTGTTATATCTAGGACTGCGTTTAAAGACAATTCATCATATTATGAGCTTGATAAGAAGAAAATGCAATTTAAGGAAATCGCTAAGGTTCTCCGATCTCATGGAGTCGACTTGGATCATAATCGGTTTTTAATATTACAAGTAAAATCATATATATGCTTTCTTTTTGCTCATTAAATTCTATTAATATTATGTACTTATAATAACTATAATATTAATCAGGTTATATTTTATATTAGTAAAAAACGTGCAAAATGTTTTCTATAGGGTGAAGTAGAACAGATTGCAATGATGAAACCTAAGGGACAAAATGAAAACGATACCGGAATGCTGGAATTTCTGGAGGACATTATTGGTACATCTCGCTATAAGGAACCTCTGGCAAAATTAGCAGACAAGGTTGAACTGTTAACAGAGTGTAGACTAGAAAAGTTACATCGTCTCAGAGTTGTGCAGAAGGAAAAGGAGAATCTGGAGGAGCCTATGGAAGAAGCAGTGCGATACCTGAAGACAGAGAACACAATAATCAGATTACAGCATCAACTTTACCACTGTAAGAGGTAAGATAAGTATGAGAATAGAATTTTATATTATTTCACTATCAGAAATCTTTGGAATATTATGGCAGCTTAAATGTTGAAAATTATGAGTATTTTTTCTCAGATCCGAAGCGGTGAAGGAACTTGCCGAGCATGTAGTGAAGAACGATACTCTAGACAAGGAACAGACCACATTGATGAACGAGATGACAAATGTTCGTCAACAAAAGGAGGAAAAGATCAAGATTATTAAGGAGAAGAGCAAGAAATGGGATGCCTTACAGCGACAGAAGGATGAGGCTACGGCAAAGTTCGACAAACTACGCAAGCAGGATGAGTCGTTACACGCCGAATTGGTTGAAACGAATAAGCGGCGAAAAAACAACATAGCATCCATGAAGACGGTAATTTTTCATACTATCTGTCTCTATCGAAACGAAAAATTATATTGAATTTATTTGTAAATTACAAATATGTTATAAGGTTACATATATATATTGTTTATATCAAATACATTTGGCAATTGGCGATGATAGGAAAAGAACAAGATGGAAGAACTACTAAATGTCCCGGAGAAGAATACAAAAGACATCGACGAATACGAGAAGTTGATCGAGACATATGTAACCAATAAAGAAAAAGAAGAGACCGCGTTAACGACTTTGATGGCAGGTCTGCGAACACAGACGGAGCCGTTGCTGAATGAGCGGTCCGATTTGGAAAAGGAGCTGATATCTCTTAGGAAAAACGTGGATCAGGCGAAAGCGGCATACGATATTGCGCAGTCCAAGCTGGAGCTTTATACGTCGGTGGAGAAAGTTGAGAAAGAAAAGCTGGAAAATCTCCGAGAATCCGTGGAGAGAACAGCGAGCACTCTTAAGGAACGGCAGAAGCAGCTAGAGTTATTCGAGCGAAAAATTCCGGCAACCGAAAACAGCTTAAAACAGGCACAGGATGAATTGAATGAGGCGAAAAGACGCGAAGTTGAGAAAGTCGCTCAGCTAAAGAAGATGCAAATGGCTTTCGAAGAACAGCGCTCTGCCATGCAAGCCAGCAAATCGCGGAATCGTATCTTAGATGCATTAATGAGAGAGAAGCGAGAGGGACGGATGCCTGGAATATTCGGAAGACTGGTAAGTATATATCAGAAACCTTTCAAACCATGACATAATGAAGCGTAATTGTATTGATTATCGAGATAAAATGGCCTTTTAGTCCGCTAAATGTAGTTGAAATCTCATTTAATTATCTCAAAATCTGAGATTACATAATGTAGATATATGTATTATAATTCATTGTATTTTATCATAATTGGATGTATAAAATGTTTATACTATACAAGATTAATTATAGTATTATCCCTTTACTACATATTTTTTATTTGCATTTAAAAGAATGTTTTCATACAATTTTTTTTCTATAGGGCGACTTGGGTGCTATTGACGCGAAATATGACGTTGCTATATCGACAGCATGCGGTCCGCTGGACAACATCATCGTGGACACGGTGACCACGGCGCAGGCATGCATTACATTTTTGCGGCAACATAACATAGGGCGCGCAACGTTTATACCATTAGAGAAACAACAGCGATTCCTGTCCAAGTGTCATAGCAAGATTCAAACACCGGAAAATGTGCATCGACTGTTCGATTTAATAAAGGTAGAGGATGAACGAGTGCTGCCGGCATTCTACTACGCTTTACATGACACTTTAGTGGCACAGGACTTGGATCAAGCGACACGCATTGCCTATGGCAGGACGCGTTATCGCGTGGTGACGTTGAAGGGCGAACTGATCGAATTGTCTGGTACGATGAGTGGCGGCGGACGCACAGTACTGCGAGGTCGGATGGGCCAGAAGGTGGTGAGGAGCGAGCCGTCGAGCGCCGATATCGAGACGCTGCAGTCACAGCTAGATACCGTGTTTGAAGAGTGCAATAACTTGAGGACAAAGCAGCAGCCATTGGAGCAGCAGATCCATGTGTTGACGACTGCTTTGCAAGACATGAAAATGGACAGGAAAAAATTTGGCATTGAGGTACAGACGTTGAGAGAACAGGAACCGTCGTTGCAAGCACAGCTTAAAGAGCAGGAAAAGAAGGCCGCCCACTCGATATCGGATCCAAAGAAGGTTGCGCAACTGCAGCAGGTGCTAGATGCGGCAAAGTTGCACCTAGATGAAGTCGAGGAGAGTTCCGCTTCGGTAGAAAGAAAGGTAGAGCATATCAATAGCAAAATAGATGATATTTCTGGCAATCGGGTACGAGATCAACAGAAGAAAATCGCACAGCTGACTAAATCGATAGACAAGGCCAAGGCCGAGGTATGCCGTCTGCAGGTAGCCATCAAAACTGCTGAGAGGAACGTCAAGAAGACGGAAAAATACATTGAAACATTGGAGAGTGACATACACACTTGCGAGGAGAGGTTAAGAAATATTCAAAAGGAGAAATTGGAGTTCGAAGAACGTGCCAAGATAATTCTGGATGAGTTGAAGGAGTTGAATGAGGCATTGACGGAGCGGGATGACGCTATGTCATCCTTAAGAGACGAGTTGAACGAGCTGCAGGCGCGCGAGGATAAGATGAAAGCGGTGAAGATCGACTTGGATCAGAAACTACACGAAAGCAGAAAGTTGCTGAAGGAACTTCAACACGTAATCCCCGAATACAATCGGAAGATAGCGGAACTAGAGTTACGATCGGTTCCTCGCGAGACATTGGAGCCGCTTAAAGACTTGACGGAGGAAGAAATCGACGAATTGGACGTAAAGATAGTGGCACAAAATCTACAGAAGGCTAGGAAGAAGCTACCCGAACAGATACCTAATATGAAGATCATTGCGGATTATCAGGAAAAGGACGCGTTGTACATACGTCGCGTCGCCGAGTTGGAGGAAATGACGTTGACGCGCAACAAGATGCGCGACATGTATGAAACCGCTCGGCGACGTAGAATTCAGGAGTTTCAGGATGGTTTTAGCCTGATCACCACGAAGTTAAAGGAGATGTATCAGATGATCACGTTGGGCGGCGATGCGGAGTTGGAATTAGTAGACTCGTTGGACCCGTTTAGCGAGGGTATCGCATTCAGCGTGCGTCCGCCGAAAAAATCGTGGAAGAGCATAAGCAATCTCAGCGGTGGCGAAAAAACCCTGAGTTCATTGGCGCTGGTTTTCGCCCTCCATCACTACAAGCCCACGCCGGTCTACTTTATGGATGAGATTGACGCGGCGCTCGATTTCAAAAATGTTTCAATCGTTGGTAACTACATCAAGGAGCGCACGAAGAACGCACAGTTCATCGTTATCTCACTACGCTCGAATATGTTTGAATTGGCCGACTATCTGGTGGGTATCTATAAGACGCGTAACTGTTCCAAGAGCGTGACTCTCAATCTGGGCCGTTACTATGAGAACAACGGCATCGCGCCGCCCACGCAGCTCACTTCCAAGACCTACGCGTCACAGGCTACGCAGAGAACGCAGGCACTCTTGACGCAATGCAGCCAGGCTGGCGCGCGTAAGGAGAACACTGCGCCCGCGAGTAATCAAAATAATGCACGAGAAATACAGTCGAACGAGGAGAAGGTATTGTCCGCAAAGGATGATAACACGAAAGAAGTGGTGCTAAACGGAGAAAAGACGCCACACGCGAAGAACAATAAAGCGAAAGAAATTTCGTTAAATGTGGAAGAGACGCCACACGCAAAGAACAATAAAGCGAAAGAAATTTCGCTAAATATGGAAGAGACGCCGGCTGCGAAGAACAATAAAGCAAAGAAAACACCGGCCGCGAAGAACAATAATGCAAAGAAAACACCACAAAGGGAACAGCCGGAAGTCGATCGATTGAGGTAGATATCGAGATCAACGTTTCTTAAAATTTATGACAATTGCATTGTAGCCATATTGCATTCTGAAAGACGAAAAATTATATAATTAATTTTTCTTGCATTGCTTGTACGATATATATTTGATCATAAATAACATAAATATGTCAAAAATTGCCTTTTTAGTAGTCTTTTTTTGTACATTGGCAAATTAGTAATCAGTGACGCGATCGTTATATCTTCTATTATTATAATAAATTAATTGAGTTATATATATAGCGAATAAAAAATATATTTTTTAAAACGAGATTATATATGAATTATATCGAATATTTGTCATTATAAACAATTTCTCTCTCTTGTTTTTTCCATTTTGTTTAATATGTAATATTATCTAAAAACTATATTTAATAGAGGTGAATTTTTTTCAAGATACAGATTATATAATCAAAATAATACTGCATGATAAAAAAGGGGTTAAAAGATATTAAATAAAATAAAATAAAACACATTCTACATTATATAATATTAAGAGTAGTTAAAAACAAGGATGGGATCCTAAAGTCCGAAAGTATAAATGCTTATTTTAGCAATTGTATGAGACACTAAAATTCCACATAGCAGAAAGACTTAAGACGGTTAAATTATTTATCTCTGTATTTTACAATTGAAATTTATTGGATATTTATAGTTCGTATTACAGTCTTCCAGATTTGGCGATATGTCCGACATCACAGAAAGTACCATCTCGGCGTTCCGATAGGCTTGCAAGGAAGAGTATAAACGAGAGCATTAACAAGGAACCGATTAACAAGAAGCGGAAATTGATGAAGTGATTGAATGATTCCGCGAACTTCGAAAGTCTGCAAGGTCCTTAAAGATTACTGCGTGCAAATGAATAACCCTTAATGTCGGAGTTAATTTCAATTCTTCTAAATATGTTGTATAACGACATTTTTTAATAATAATATTAAATTTATATTTTCAAAAGACGTAAAATTTGATGAATTAACGATAAGATTAAAATAAGCGTTATTAAATAAAATAATTGTAAGATTTGATAGTATAGTTTTAGTTATGAACAATATATAACGAAACTTATATATATCTAGTTTTGTTATAATAACGTCATGCACACACAAACACACATATGTAAATTGTCAGTTCTTTTGTAATTTAAGATGTCTGTAAAAGTGTAAGATACTGAAAGTTATATATGTGTAATTATAAGACATAGAGTCTGTCTCTTTTCTTTTTTTGTAATTTTCCAGTATAAATATAAATTTCATTTTGGAAAATACAATATATACTTCAGTTAAAGAGAACAGACTCATAAGTGAACGCAAAGTGCAAAAATATTTTTATATTTTTATACATGACCAGTTACTGTAATTAAATGTAGATTGTAATTGATTGATATATACTTATATATAAATTTCTCATTCGTAATTATTAATTTATTTTATAATAGTAATTAATTGTAATTATTAAGGATTATATAAACAGATGCTCGAGATGAAACACGTGCGTGAGAATTTTCCGGCGAGAGTTTTCTCATCTCTGACATTCGCACGTTTATCCGTAAGTGACTGTGATAACGCTATCATAAATGAGAACACTATCGAACGTCGAACGAATGAAACGTGTGAAAAAAGCCGGAAGTCTTCAAGGCTGGTCGCATTTGTGTCGCCGCTCGCCACGAAATGGCCTCGATCCTTTAGATTTGTTCTGTATTTTTCGTAGTTTCTCCCAAGAGAGATTTAATCCGCGACTTTAGATAGCGAAATATCTCGATTTGTGCGCTAATAAAAGGAAAAATCGGGTAAATCACCTGCCCTACCGGGTGACGACGACGACGACGACGATGATGACGATGACGATGACGATGATGATGACGATGACGATGATGATGACGATGAGGAGAGGGAGAAGAAGCGAGACGGAAGAGGAAGGGAAGCGCAATATAAGTATCGTTACAACATGTGAGATATAGATTTCAATGGAATACGAGAAGAGAAGACGCGACTCGCGAAATGACGGCTATCAAAAAGGATGATGATGCTGACGCTACCGAAAAAACGTCGCCGAAAATGTCCGTCGCGATGTCTCCGACTCTACAACAGAACTGTAAGAGAACTGTCAGTGTGCGAATAACGTCAAATTTGATATTTAAAGAGGGATTTAATCGGATTTTAAAAGTGGAAAAGAATATACATGTGTTTATAACTATAAAAGAAAGTTTTCTTTATGGCATACATGAAAAAACTTCTGTTTTTGTACAATAAATTCATAACGCGGAAAAGAAATGTGTCCTCTTCTATTAAAATATAAATTTCAAACAAAGGAAATTTCAACGAAGGATTGTTTGAACAAGAGTGATGCAGATCCGTGATTTATTATTAGATACGAATTCGAAATTAAATTGTAAGTTACGGATTTGGACCACCCGCAATTTTTCGAGTGGATTTTTATTGGATATGGAGATTTCAATCAAAATTTCTCAATCATTAAGAATAATATATTTTTAAGGAATATATTTTTAACTTTGTATCATCGATATTAATTCGGGGATTTTTGAAATGTTCCAGTTTTTTTTTTTTTACGTGAAACAAATTTGCAAATTGTGATTTAGCACAACAATATATACAGTGTTCGGGATGGAAAGTGCATTGTTAAATTTGTTATTGAATCAATCGGTGGAGATCGCGATTAGTGCTCCATAGATCTATGGACGACTATAATTGCTGGTATCAAGTTAGTGATGGTGAAAAGTCGAAGTAAGAGAATTCACGGAAATTATCTCTTTCTGTATAACATCTTACAAAAGTGTATTAAGGAAGAAAAAGGAGGATTTAACCGGAGATTGATTTATCGCGTATCGAGCTGTTTACAATAAAATATTTAAAAATACATTCGTATGTGAAGCGAATTTTCAATACGTATTATCGGAACGGAAGATTTGCAAATTTATTTTTTTTCATATTGTAATTTTGTCTGGAATAACTGTTACGTGTTTGTGTTTTGCCTACGACGCGGAATATATAATACAACGGCGACTACCTTGGAGATAACATGATGGTGACATATGCTTGATTTTTAAAAGCGTAAAAAAACCGTATTTTTATAAAAATACATTTGGACAAAAGCAGTTGAAATTAATTTGTTATTTATCATGTAGTGTTTTCATAATGAACAATGCATCGCTATCAAAGACAATGATAGGGAAGAAAACAAAATAGTGATAATAATAATAATAATAATAATAGCACAATAATGCCTTATTAATAATAATCTCAAAAGTAAGAATAATGGGTAAAATATACAAATAATGTATATTATTTTTTTTTTAATTGGCGGGAAATGATATTTGATAAAATAAAGAAAAGTTAGGCGAGACATTTTTTTGTCAAAATACCATTTTCGAAATTTCCCATAATTAATCTTGTATCGTTATTAATCTGATCTTTAATTTTGTAATCATCTGAATGATGTAACTATCTGAATGATGTTGAAAATATTTTCCAAGTTATTTGATAATTCTTCTTGATCGTTGGTCGTTTTATCTGGGATTATCGCGCACGTAAATTATAACTTCACTTCGTTCGACTGCAATAAAGAACAATCGAATCGAAGCTGCTTCTTGCGATTGATGATCCAGAAGTGCGCGATCACAATGTGTATTATTTCGCATTTAATTTAAATAATTATTTTTAATAAAATTTTAATAATTTA